ACCGAGGAAGCACTAGCGAAGCTGAACAAAGAAGCGGCCTACGGAGAGAACAGTAGAGAACCGGTAACCAGAACGGTGGAGAAGGAAGAGCAAGCAAGTTAGGAAAAAAACAGGTTTAGCTGGTTCAACTGTCGCAAGGCCCAGCTTCAGCGAGGTAGTGGTGGGGCAGTGGGGGAACAAAGCAGCCGGCGTCACAGGTGCAAGTAGCCCCCAGGTGCAGGACGCTCCAGCTGAAAAGTTACAGCATGTGATAATCGCCGGGGACTCGAATTTAAACCGATGCAGAGAAGCCATAAAAGAGAGGGTAAGAGGTGACAAGAGGGTTGCAGTAGGGGCGTTCCCAGGACGAAAGCTGGAAGCAGTCATGAGGCAAGCGAACGCAAAACTCAAAACTACAGCTGATAGACGAAACCTCGTGATAATTTCAGGTGGTTTAAATGATGTCTTAAATGAAGATACAGCAGGACTAGCAGCCACACTGGCGAAAGGCGTCAATGACATGCGCGCCACTTCTCCTAAGGTACAGGTAGTGATATGCACGATACCGGAGGTACCGGTGCATGATAGCAACCTGCAAAGAGCGGTTGTCAACGCAAACCAAGAGATATGGCGGTTGAGTCGAGAGAAAGGGTTTAATTTGGTGGAAATAAACAGAGAGGTGCATAGGTGGGGCGGTTTTCAACGAGACAGAATTCACTTTGATGGGCGGCTAGATCACGAGGTGGGTTGGCGACTTGCAGGGCGCGCAGTAGCTTTTTTGGGGGGCAAGCGAGCCCTTCGGGGTGCAGGATAGCTAGTAACGAGGAAAACAACCAGGGAGACTCTTCGACAGGTGTTATGGACAGATACGATTCCAAAGTGGCACCAATGTCTAAGATAGGTAGAGTCCGGGGTATAAATAGACGTAGCCACGAGCGCCGAGCCCATTCAGACATAGGGTATATTAACATGCAGGGTGGTAGGAACAGGCTGAAGTGGGAAGAGATAGAAGAACATCTAAGGGAAGAGAGGCCGATGGTATACGGTTTTGTAGAAACACATCTCAGGGACATGGAACAACCTCCGAATATTGTAATAGAACAGAAGGCAGCAGAAAGGGGGGAGGTATTGGGGCATTCATTCATAAAAGTACAGACTGGCAAAGGGTCAAGCAGGAGTGCAAGGAACATTTATGGCTAAAAGGGAAAGTGGCAGGTCAAATGACACTCCTTGGTTTCGTGTACTTGTGGACGGGAGCAAAGGCCAGAGAGGAAAACCAGGAAATGGTAGAGTGTGTATCAAAGGACATTCAGGAGTTAGGAAGAGAGTGCGAGATAATTATACTAGGAGACATGAATGTGCACATAGAAGATATAGATGGGTATACCGACCCGACAGGCAAAATTATCATGGATATGTGTGAAAGGCTTGATTTGATCATTTGCAACAGTACCGAGAAGTGTGAAGGGCAAATAACATGGGAGGTAGGAAGGCTGCAGTCGACGATAGATTATGCACTGATGTCACATAGGATGTATGATAAGCTCAGGGGAATGCACATAGATGAAGGTGGCTCCAGAAGTCTGGGTAGTGATCACAAACGTATCAAGCTAAGTTTTGGAAGAGCAGTGAAAGTGGGAAGGAGACAAGATGAGCAACTATAGGAAAATTTTTATTCAGAAAGGCAAATTGAAATAGCCACTAAACAAATTGAGAATGTAATCATGGAGGATAATAAGACAGTGTGGACATACACGAATCTAACTAGACTCTTTGAGCTAGAGCTTGCTAAGACGCGTAACAAGTTACCCCGGAAAAAAAGACACAAACCCAAAAGTTGGTGGGATGAGGAAGTTAAGAGAGCCATAGCAAAACGCCAGGAAGCCTCTAGGGAACACAGACATGCTAAGCAGCGGGGTGAACCGACAGATGATGTTGAAAGAAAATGGGAAACTTTTCTAAGCTGTAGAAGGGCTGCATCCCTTCTGATTAATGAAAAGATTAGAAGAAAGGGAGCTCAGTGGCTGGCAGAAGTACATAAAAAAGATAGAAAGGTAGCTGCGAAATTTTGGAATCATCTAAACTCCATAAGAAATGAAACGAGCCTAGAGCAGAGTTTTATAACTACAGCCCAAGGTGCCAGGCTAGAAGGGGACGAAGCTATTGAATATATAAGAACAAGGGTGATAGAAAAATTTCAACAAAGAAGTACTTTATGCACCACAATAGACAAGGACGAATCAAGTGGTGCAATGGCTCCATTTTCACAACGAGAGTGGGAAAGGGCTGATAAAAGGGTTCCTATTAGTACATCAACAGGCCCAGATGACATTTCAATTAGGCTGATAAAGACATTAGGTCCGAAGTCTAAGCGGGCTTTGAGAGAGGCAGTGAGCAAAATAATAATCGATGGTGAAGTTCCCGATGGATGGAAACTTAGCAGGATGAGCATGATCTATAAAGGAAAGGGGGACAAAGCTGACATAAACAACTACCGTCCTATAACAGTGACATCAGTGGTCTACAGGCTGGCGATGCAGATTATAAAGGAAAGACTGCAGGCATGGATAGAAGACGAGGGGGTGCTGGGGGAATTGCAGAATGGGTTTCGGAAACACAAGAGGTTGGAAGATAATCTGTTCTCACTTACGCAGTGCATCGAAATAGCAGAAAAGGAACACAGGCCCCTGTGGCTAGCATTCTTGGATATCAAGGGAGCGTACGATAGCGTGGTTCAAGAGGAATTGTGGGGAATACTGGACACACTAGGCGTAGAACATGTAGTCACTAATCTTTTAAAGGGTATCTATAAAGGTAACAAGGTAGTTATAAAGTAGGAAAAACAGGTATCCAAGCCTGCAGAGGTAAAATGGGGGTTTAGGAAGGGGTGCCCCCTGTCACCCTTATTATTCATGATGTACCTACAAGGATTAGAGGCAAAATTAGAAGAAAGTGGGCTGGGCTTCAACCTCTCTTTAGTCAAACAAGGAAAACTTATTGATCAGGCACTACCAGCATTAACGTATGCAGATGATATAGTGCTAATGGCCAACAACAAGGAAGATTTGCAGAGATTGATGGACATCTGCGGTAATGAGGGAGATAGGTTAGATTTTAGATTCAGTAAGGAAAAATCTGCAGTCATGATTTTCAATGACAACGAAGGTAGTGAGCTTAGGATACAGGAGGTCACGCTTGAGATAACAGATAAATACAAGTATCTGGGTGTATGGATAAGCAATGGGACCGAGTACCTGAGGGAACACGAAACATACATGACGACTAAAGGTAACAGGAATGCAGCAGTGATGAAAAATAGGGCACCGTGGAATTACAATAAGTATGATGTTGTGAGAGGAATATGGAAATCGGTCATGGTTCCTAGGCTGACGTTCGGCAATGCGGTCTTGTGCATGAGATCAGAAGTTCAAGCAAGATTAGAAATTAAGCAACGTGGAATAGGTAGGCTTGCTTTAGGAGCTCACGGGAATACACCAAATCAGGGAGTACAAGGTGATATGGGATGGACATCATTTGAGGGCAGGGAAGCTAGCAGCAAGATAAAATTTGAGAAGCGATTGAGAGAAATGAAGGAGGAGCGTTGGGCTAGGAAGGTTTTCAGCTACTTGTCATGAAGAATGTCGATACAAAATGGAGGAAGCGAACCAGGAAGTTGACTGGTAAATACTTAGAAAACAGCGGGTGGCCAAACCAAAAAGATCTATCGGTTAAGAAGAAAGTGAAGGAAACGGAGACTGACATGTGGAAAATGGGCATGATTAAGAAGTCCGCACTAGAGATCTATCGAACTTTTAAGCAGAAAATTGCCAAAGAAAGGATCTATGATAATACTCGGGGTAGTTCTCTACTGTTTGAGGCAAGGACGGGAGTACTGCGAACCAAGACATATCGGGCCAAATACGAAGGGGTAGACACAGTATGCAGTGCGTGTGGAGAGGAAGAAGAAACTGCCGAACACTTGATAATCTTCTGTAAAGGGCTTCACCCTATAGCTCAGGATGATGGCGCAGAGTTTTTCAAAGCACTGGGGTTTAGGGACCGGGAGGGCAAAATAGACTTTAAGCAAGTAGACTTAACTAGAAGGAGGTTATCTGATTAGTGGATAAAGTCAAGGCACGAGTGAAAATTAAACTCTTCACTGCAAAGTACGAATCCTCAAACTCACTTTTTAAGGAAAAAAAATATAATTTTGGTGTCATTAAGTATTACGACTTGGTGGCGCTAGCCACCGCCCAATCTAAAGGGTACAGCCATATCCATCCATTCATTCAATATCACGGCGACGGGCGGTACTAGCTGAGCGTTTTTCATCTGCGGCCCCTAGGGGCGCGTCAGTCGAAAGTTGTTTGAGACCTACAACTGTGCACCACTGTTTCAGAGGCTATGCAAAGTGTTGCGTTGTTGCACCGTCCGCCACAAGTGTCGCTAGCGACCAAGAACATTTTAAAATAAAGGAGGAAAAGGGTGTGGAAGCCGTTTTTCTTCTCATGCGGCAGGCATCTTATAGAGGAGGCGTTGTACCAGCTAAGTGTTCTTCGTCTGCTGCCCATAGGAGCGCGTCAGTCAAGAGTTGTTCAAGGTCTGCAATTTTGCACCACTGTTTTGGAGGCTATGCAAAGTGTTGCGCCGTTGCACCTTAGAAGCGTGGCAGCTTGGGCTAGTTGGTATGGCATGACGAGAGTTATAGCGCGAGAACAAAACGACGACACAGAGACAAGAAGTCTCTGTGTCGTCGTTTTGTTCTCGCGCTATAACTATCATCATGCCGTTGCACCGTCTGCCACTGGTGACGCTAGCAACCGAGAACATTTTCAAATTGAAAGAGAGAAAGGGTGTGGCAGCTGTTTTTTTTCTTATGCGGCAGGCATCTTCCTAGAGGAGGCATTGGTCGTGATCACCTTTTTCCTTCCTCCGTGTACGGTACGATAATGTCACGTGACAGCGGTACGGAGGTGAGCGGTCTCATGTGGCGGCCGGTCACAACACAAGAAAAAAGGCATGGCCTCCGAGATTAAGTGCTGGCCAAAGACTCTCAATTGAATAGAAGAGCGACGTTTTTCTAGGAGGCGTTGGTTGATAAAGCCTTGGTTGAAAACATGCCTACGCAAAGTTGTTTGTAAACGTTGTTGTAAAAGTTGTAAACGTGCATGACTGTTGTTGAGGTGTGGAGATGGGTGCGAGTGCTGCGTTCAGAAACTTCTCTGAATAAGATGGGTATCCTGTTCGCGAAGCACAAGAAAGTGAGTCGCGTGACGGAACAAGACAAGGCCATCCTGGTAAGCTAGCTAAACGATCGACTGCAGTGCGTACTCATTCGTCTTCCCCGTGCAGCAACTGAAACAGCAGAGGGACAAGATCAAGCAGTACCAGAAGAAGATCCTCTTTAACTTGGAGAACGAGCGTCAGCTCGCTCGAAGGCTGCTCAACGATGGACGCAAAGAGTAAGTGCTCTCGTACATTATTGAGCCGCGTGTCTGAAAATCGCCGTTATGTTTAGGAAAGCGAAGCTGCTCCTCAGGAAAAAGCGCTTCATGGAAAAGGTGCTGGAAAAGACTGACGGCCAGCTAACCAACCTAGAGAAAATGGTGAGTGATGATGCACGTTTGTCGTGGTCAGCACCTTCGGTTCTTTCGCGCAGGTCCATGATATCGAGTTCGCCCAAATTGAAATCCAAGTTGTAGAGGGACTCAAGGTCGGCAACGAGTCATTGAAGAAGCTGCACGAGGCAAGTGCTCCTCTTGAACTTTTCTTCTATCCCGATTGAAAGCCAGACTTCATGAGTTTTTCTTGTACATTGTTTGAAGGACACGGCACAGTCGTTCGCCCATCTCGTCAATGACCTAACACTTGGTTTTTAATATGCAATATATTATGTTCCTCATTAGTGCTAAGATTTTTTTTATTTCGGTATGAATGCCATTATTGCTAAGCATTATTTATATTTTTCCTGATGTTGAGAATTTTCTTATTTTCGTACCTAGTATTGTATATTCTTATATTTTTATGTTCTGTTTTGTCACTGACATTTGTTACCCACTCCTGCTTGGGCCCGAACAGGGCCTGCAGTATTTGTAAAATAAAAAAAAAAAAACGCTGGCTTTCACCCCATTCAGTGCATCGCTAACTTTTGCCGCATGCTGTTGCCTCAGTGAATGGACAGCTCAAGCAGATGAAATAGTGCAAACTTGCAGCTCTTTCGTTTTTGAGAACACCAGCACCAAGATAGGCGTACACAACACGTGCCGCTTGGTATGCAAACCCCCTGACCTCTGTCAACACGCACTGTTGTGCAAGTGTCAGAAAAAACGAAACAGCCACACTTTTGCAAAAAGCACGAGCAGCAGTCATTACACGTCCGCTTAAGACAGAATACCTCTTCTGCACCGTTACAAGACAAGTGACCCCTAATGGCGACCCTAGCAAAAATACTGATAGAAAAACTGATAGGCTATCAGGTTATTGACAGTTGTATCAGTTTATAGGTGTATCAGTCTATAGGTGCATCAGTCTATGAGTGTATCAGTCTATGAATATATCAGTCTATAAGTGTATCAGTCTATCAGGGTACCACTACTGGTGTACCAGCCTATAAGTGTAGCATTCTACTCTGATAGGCCCACAAGCGAATCGGTGCTTAGCCAACTGGCAGGTGCACCGTTACATCAGAGCAAGCAGGACAGAAATATGAACACAGAAATCAAACAAAATATTTTATTTGATGGGCCGTTCCTTGGTTAATCTTTTGATTTCATAAAGTCATTAATTTTGTTTGCCAAAGCTTTATTGAGGAGCTTCTTCATTTGCTCAACCTCTACAATCAGAACGGTGAACTTAAAAAAAAAAAAATGGTTGAAGAAATCTGCATGATCAAAAACAAAGTAAGGTACAGGCACTTATTAAGCGATAATTATGTGCACTCTAAATAGAGGAGTCAATATGACAAGGAAATAAGTAGGAGTGCTACCAGTCTGCCTTTCTAATATTGTTTAAAATTAGTTTATGGATTCTTGTATAAAAGTACCCAGCTCCAGTAGGCAAAAGCTACACTTGAAGCTTTAGTAAGTAATTATAAAACAAGTTGGCAGTGAAACCTCGGCTGATTACGTGCAAAAATGGAGCCACGAACTTCTATGAATTTTGGTTAGATTGCAAAATTTCACCTACCTGAAAACACAGCATATGTTTCTTTCTCCAAGGGAGATTTCGCCTCCCCTTTAGACCGATAGGAGGCTGCGCCAGTAACACTTCTACCGACTAGGCCTGCTGTATAAAAAATGGCAACGGCCACCTCACGAACAAAACGGGTCTGTCTTTTCAAGCCCATGGGGTGATTCTACAACCTCTCGGGAATGGCAATTCCTTTGCTCCGATGCACCTATAAAACAAGTCAAAGATGATGTGCACACATTAGTTTGTCAATGCACATTTTCTCATTAAAGCAGGGAGCACGTCATCCAAACAAGACTGACTAGGTTCATGGAAGATGAAAACCTGTACCCTGATACTATGATAGGCTTCAGATCCCACCTATCGACGTGCGATATTATGCTACAGCTAAAGGAGGAGATAATAGACAAAAAGACTGTTGACACCAAAGTAATTGTGGGTCTGGACGTCTCCAAGGCATTTGACAATGTCAAACATGAAGCCTTACTTAAGAACCTTAGTGCGCTAAACGTAGGCGTCAAGACATACAACTACGTGAGGGGCTTTCTCTCAAATCGTACAGCCACTATCGGCATGGGAGGGCAGTCGCTCGAAAACATTAAATTGGGGAATAAAGGGACGCCACAAGGGTCTGTACTCTCTCTGACTCTTTTTAATATAGCGATGATTAGACTTCCTGAGAAGTTGGAAGGAATCGAAAATCTGCACCACACAATATACGCAGACGATGTGACGCTGTGGATAAACAGGGGTAGTGACGGACATATTGAAAGCGCACTTCAGGTGGCTATAGATACCATCGAACAATATCTCGAACCACTAGGGTTAAAATGCTCAGCAGAAAAATCAGAGGCTCTTTTTCTACCATTGCAAAAAAGGAAAACAAACAATCCTCTCGGAAGGGGTTGTGACGTCGCTTTGCGAGTGAATGGTAATGCTATTCCAACCGTAGACAGTATTAGAATTCTAGGGATTCACATACAAGCAAATGGAAAAAACACCGAAACTATCCGGAGACTCAAAGCTAGTGCTAACCAGACGTGCCGCCTGCTTAAGCGCATTTCTAACAAGAATACGGGGATGAAGGAAGCCAATCTTTTAAGATTAGTTCAAGCTTTCGTGATAAGCCGTGTACTATACATTGCCCCTTATCTTAAATTAAGTAGAGCAGAAAAAGATAAAATTGAAGTCATTATAAGGAAAGGCAACAAGACTGCGCTAGGGCTTCCCCCGAACACCTCTACGGTTAAACTTCTTGGGCTGGGTGTCTCCAACACTTTAGATGAACTAATAGAAGCCGCCATGATGTCACAGCACCAAAGACTTCTGAGAAGTAGAACCGGGAGGAAAATCATGGAGCGCTTGGGGTTCGAGCCCACGGAGTGTTCCAGGCAGACCGCTAGCATACCTAAATCAACTAGGGCAAGACTGAAAATTATACCGCTGCCGAAAAACATGCATCCGGTGTTTCATGAAGGCAGACGCAAAGCTAGAGCGGTAGCCCTGCAGGCGAAACTAGAAGGTCGATCTGGCGTGCTTTACACGGACGCTGCAGAATACGAAAGAAAGGGAGCACACACAGCGGTAGTGGTTCGCGAGAACGGGGACCTGGTCTCATGCTGCATCTCTAAAAACACAACCACCACAGAGGCAGAAGAACTTGCGATTGCTTTGGCAATAGCTCAAAAAGGCTGTTACAAGCTGCCACTCTAGCGTCGCCAGCGCGAAGTCGGCGACGGGAATGACAGCAGGTTGGTTCGTTCCGTACGCAAGCAGAGACAGTGAAGAGATCAGAGACGTGAGAAAACAAAACAAACTTTACTCTAGTGATATTGCAGTACACGGGATCTAATACAACTCTTCAATACAACTAACAAAATACATCAACACTTGATACAACTAAAATACATATAAAAACAATAAATCAGCTTACGCCAGAGAACTACTACAAACTACACAAACTAACACCAATAGACTACGGGGGAGAAAGTTCGAAGATATAAACAGGTGAAGGCATACGTGTGATGACCGGCAGCGTTGCATCCCCGACGATCGGATGCGAGAAGTCGAAGAGAGTTCTGGCACGACTGCGATGTCGGCGGTGTTGCAACGCTGGTGGCTCCGGGAGTAGTGCTTGCAGGTGACTTCGAGCAGGTTGAGCTAACTCGAGGCGAAGTCCCGATGTCTACGTTGCAGACGTTAATATCGCGTCACAACTACACGAACGGCTAAGTTTAGGTGGCCAGCCGATACAGAGCCACACTAAAAACTTCTAGAAGAGATGCTTGTTGATCGGTTTCTACACCATGTTGGTCAGCGACTAGTCTGCCTAGCAGGGCAAAATCCTGCGCTTAAATCCCCCTCGTGTCTCCTCGCTCTCTTCCTTGGGGACAAGAGACCTCTGCATGGGTCCAATCATGTGCGTTTAATTGATGGAAACTTTGCCCCCAAAATATTTTGACCCCACCTCTTTTTAATTGGGAGAGGGCCCTCAACTAGCGAGAGTGACAACCTGTCGGGTTGTTGTCATACGGCTTGGCCACCAGAGCGTTTCCCACGCTTTTCCCCGTGGGAACGGTCAACCGTTTGGCTCTCAGCCGGTGCGTCTCGTAGTCTAATCTTTGTTCGGGGTATACCGCGCCCTTCTACGACCTTGCAGACGGCGCCGCAGTTACAAAAGGATCAACCGTCGGCGGCGACGTTCTAAGAAGCGCACCCCATTCTGCACTTCTCGGCTCCCCTTCATGCGCTCGCCATTCTCACGGTCAGTGGGGGAGTACGGCGCCCGTTAATTGCCGTGACGCGGTGTCGCCAAAAATGGCCGTCCGTGACAAAGGCACTCGAGTGATTGTTAGCGACTCTAAGTCAGCCATTAAAAACTACGATATGGGCAGGATCTCTGCTACAGCCGTCAAATTCTAAGACAAGGACCAGTACCCGCAGAGCTAATCTCACTAGTATGGTCCCCGGCCCATGAAGGTCTGAAGGGGAATGAGAAGGCGCACGCGATCGCCCGAGGGCTCACCTTCCGGTCGATCGACGCTGACCCGCCGCCTTCGCGCGAGCAGCCCTTCTCCACAAGGGACGAACTACGAACGTTTCAGGAAATCACCGCACACTATAAACTCCACCGTAAGATTTATCCAGAGGCAGCTAAACAGCTGAGCAAAAAGGAGGAAATTCTGTGGCAAAAATTGCAAACCGGGGTGTTTCCAAACCCTCACCTGTACAGTAAATGGCACCCGGAAGTGTTCAGCTCCAGATGTGCGCACTGCAACAGCACTGCGGGTTTAGCGCACATGGTATGGACCTGCCCATCCTACAATGATCCAAGTAGAAACGTAGAATCCTGGGAGGCCTTATTACACAGCCGTGACGCCGAAGAACAGCATCAAGTCATCGGTCTCGCCCTGACCGCCGCCGAGTCCCAAGGGATTCCGGCCGATGGCTTGGGGGATGATTGGGGGCAAAGGCTGAAGCCTCCTCCCCCGTCATTCTAGACGGGTGAAATAAACGTTATTTCTCTCTCTCTCTCATTAAAGCAAAGCAATATATCTT